CAATGTTTAGACTCGACAAAGCACCCTGCAGTCAAATATGCTACAGGTCTCGCTCTTTGCACAGTCTGACATAAATAATGCCACCTTGATTGTTTTTCATCATTTAAATATACTGATGTATCGTAAAAGTTTACAATGTGATGGAAATGGAAATAATCTGCAGTCCAACTGTTGCCATCTTCAAAGCTTAAACATTTGAGCGGGCAATTTTTGAACTTGAAGGTCATACAATTGTAAGACCGAGCTAGCAAGTATGTTAAAACTGAAAAACGGCATTATTTAACTGAATATGTCACGAAATGTGGCTTTAATTTCTAAGATTCTTGTCACACAAGTGTAAATATAGGTCTCACCGTCGTGTAAATGAAAACTGATTTCGTAACCTTTAACCTGTCTGCTTCTGCAAAAAAAGCCTAAATATCACGAAAAGCCTACCAGATCATCTGAACTTTATTTGGGGTGAACAATGCCAACCTCAGAAAAACGTAGCTCGATTTGTGGCGCACAAACGTAGTGTCTCGCAGCCGGTTTTGAGTTATCTTGATGCGTTCTAACCCATGTAGCGTGACATACTCAACGATTGGTCGTGAGGCGTCTGCGGTGCTTCACGACCACGACGACGAAAGGCTGGCACGTCAGAATTTTTGTTTGTCTTGTCGTATAGTTTGACATGTCCTACGTCTTCCTGCGATCGGTTCTTTGGCTTTTCAATTCATGCTACGTTTGCTAACTGCAAAGCTAGCACCTGATTAGCAAACGTGGTGTCATTCAACAAATGTGTTGTCTCAAGTAAGTTCTTTTCGGAGAAGAGACAATCCATATGGCCATCTCCTCAACATCCAGAAACGGGTCCACACTTTCTTTTTTTTTGTTTTAGTCTTTTCAGAACATAGAAACAACGCACATGTACATAATGCCTCCGTCGTCGACATGACTACAGCTACTTGTTCCGCCTCCCTCAACAGACCTGCGGCGATGAACTTAATCTTGACGGAAGCATGCAATGATTGTGCAAGGTCTGGTCAGAGACACAGAACGAATTTTATCTGGCCGTCTGACAGCGTAACTGTCGTGAATGACAAAAGAGTGCGGCTAGTTTGATAAGTCCGTAAGAGGAACTTTAAATGGCGGCAGATGTGTGCTGACTCCCATTCACATAAACTTCAATTTGATCGGTTCATTGTCTTATCCCATGCGCTACAAGGGTGTGCGTACTTGTGCAACCACATTATCTCAGCTGCTTATTTTTACTTCGCTCAAGATTTAATTTGCAGTTTTTCACCATAGGTCTCTCGTCGACGATTTAGTGACATCACGCTGCGTTATTTTATACTCGTGGCCTGAGACTTTTGCACAGTACTCTTGTCCAGAGAAATGGAAGTGAAATGTAGAATGTATAATATAATATTTTGTGAGATTTCACGTGTTCCGACAAACGCACCCACCAAATTTGAACGCGTGTTGCACGCTAACAAACACACCCTCACATCTATGCCAATGGTGTTGCTTCTGCACACTTCTATGAAAACAATTACCATGTTAGTGACAGGTTCTCACTCCCTCCTCTTCCTACTCCTCCTTCTTCTTCCTCCTCCTCCTCACGCTCGGCTCCTTTGCCTCTCGTTGCAGGTGCCAACCAAAGCAGATCTCAACCTTTTTTTGAACATTGAGAGGAGCTCTCAGATGAATGACTAAGAAAGCTACGAGACGTTACTTGAAGGATCATTGAACGTGGTATGTTGCAAGAACACGCATCAAAAAAGTGACCGTATAGCTGCAGCTAAGCACTCTGGCTTGTGTCTGTCTTTGTTTTGACGCCGTTGTGTTCATGACCCTCCTGTGACAACGTGTATTGATTATACTGGTAGACACATTTTTCATTTTTGTTTTTCTTTGTTTTCTTCAAATCAGAGATGAAAGTTTTTGGGGGAGGGACCTCATTCTGAATCTGCTGTTGTTTTTTTCTTTAGCATATCAGAGTTTCATCATGATACAACTATGACAACAATAATATAGTCATATATTTAGTAATAATGATTAATTAAGGGTTAGGTTTTTGTTAACTATCAATTACAATACATGATAAAATCCATATTGCATAAGTTTTTATAGGTCGAACCTAAAAGCAAAAAATGAAAATATCTCAAAAACCTGATGTGCTGGGCGGAAAAAAAGTAAATACATTGTTGGAATCAGTGTCAAAAATACATTTGGGGACCTCTATAAAGACATCTTTGATTCAAATTTGCTGTTGACTCGTGTTATCGTAGGTCTGGGCAGGGCAGAGGAAATGCTATTAAAGATTAAAAGGTCAGGTGATGTGAAGGTGGCATCCCGAGTCATCAGACACCAGCAAGGTTGCATTACAAAAACGCAATGGCCACCCGTCAAGCAGATTAGACAGCTTGATTTATTTATCAACTGATTTGATAGGCCGCAATGCCCCGCGCACCCCTCCTGACTAGATTGGGTGAAAGCTGCACAAAGCTTCTGCTTCACAGGTGAACTTGAAAGGAAGGAAAGATAAGGACGTTGCTTGGTGTCGACTTACTTAAGTGAGGCTCATAAGAGAAGTCTGTTTTATTTTTGTTTGTTTTTTTTTAAACTGGATGTAGTTTGGGTGGGCTATTAAGATCATAGTGCAAGGGTATCTAAACATTTTGCTCCGGTGGACTTACACAGAAAGGTTGAAGGCTACACAAAGCCACTTAGAAATTCATCAAACTTAATTCATTAATACCTCTGCATTTTTTTTTCTTTTACTTTTTGCACACCCATACTTTTCATCATGCATTCTCCATTTGCTATATCCACCAGAATAATGGGCTGTGTGAAGGTTTGAGACTCAAACCGAGGTCCTTAGAACTGTGAGGCAAACTTGCTAACCACGACAGCACTGTGCAGCCGCTCCCCGGACCGTAGTGACCAAATATGTTAAGTAGCAGTAAGCAAAATTGTCATTTTTTTTCCCCCTCAGGCGTTCCTGCAGTTGTGGCCTGTAATTTACTTTCAAGCCAGTGCAGTAAGCACTGTATGTGTAAGTCTGTAAAACAACGTCAATCATTAAAATAGGTGGCTATGGCAACGGAAGATGCTCAACTCTTACATTGCAAAGCACTGCCGCATCGATGTGATTTTGAATGTGTTACTTGAAAGGAAATGTTTTATTTTCCTAAAGTTTATACACACGGTTTGATGACAAACCAAACAAGCATTGAACGGAACGCGCTCGAACCATTCAAAATCTTCCCTTTGGCAGCTATATAATATTCAAATAATAGAGCGGGATTATTACAAGACCTATCTGGGATTCATCTTTGTACATAAAGCCATGGTGATGCCTGTCTGGCGCTTATCTGAAGTGGCAAACTTGCTGCTTTAATTGTTATCGTCACAGCAGTGGAGTGGATGTTTTGAAATCATGCGGTTGGAAGGATAAGGGCTTGCTAATTCCCCATGCTTACTGTCTGTGTCAGGTCTTATCATCTGGAGATAGCGCCTTCTTCCACAATGAGTGGCGCCATGCGGGAGGTGGAACTTTTTTGACGGGGACCACCAGGGAGGGGGAGGGGACTGTGTTCGGAGATTCACATTTGACAAAATCTGCAGATGGCATTTCTATAAAAGCACCGTTTACGATACTAGAGCACGCCTAATTGGACTCTCAGGGTCAAAATGGTACAGGCGTCGAGCACAAGATTGTAAATCTAGAGAGCTTCGGCAAACAAAGTGCAAGCCAGGCTAATTGCTAAGCTAAACTAAGGTTGACACGGCTTGTGCGTTTAATACGGTGCACTCGAGTACACTTTTCACAGATGTCTGGCTGGAACCACGTTAAAATGGAGTACATCCAACTTTGCAAAGCAAAATGGCAGGCAAATTTATAAGCTGCTGGACTTTGGAGAGAAAATCGTACTTGCAAAACTGAGCTGAATGCTGGAAATGAACTACTCTACGCTACGTCCTATGTCACCCAGGAGGTGTGGCATGTGAGGTTAAAAGTACACTAGTTGACAATATTTGAAATATTAATTATGTGTATTTGTTTTGCAATAGAGTCCTGGGGTTAATCTGCAAAAACAAAATGCTCCACAAAATCAGGAAGTTGCTCCTCAATTGAAGACATTGATTCGAAAAAACATTTCAAGACTTGAGTTTATCGTCAAATCCAAAAAAAAGCAGTGATGGTGAAACAGAGAAATGCTTTCTTTTTACGTTTATAAATTCCCGTCTTCCGTGTGTTGTCAGCATTCTACATTGTTTCTTTCAAATCCAGCTAACAGAGAGGAATCATATCTTAACACATGCTTTGCCATACAATGCAATATGAGATCAGCCAGCTTGTTGAAGTGAAACATAGATAGATAGATAGATGGATAGATAGATCGATCCACAAAAACTGAAAGTTGCTCCTCAAATGAAGTCAGATTCGCATTACTTTTGCGAATCCACTTTTTGTCACATTTGTTTTCTTGAGATTTAAAAGATGTGCCTTGGCTCAATAAAAGTCGGGGCAACAAAGGTCCACTTGGGCTTGGGGATGAGTGGGGGTGGGGGGGGGCGCTCGCGCTATAACAAACCATTAGATCCGAGGTGCCTCCTTCATAAAAGTCCTGTTCCGGGCAAATATGATCCCGCCCCCTTTTTTTTTTAGTACTCAAACAAAAAAGAAGAAGAAGAAGCCACGCGCTAAGAGGAAATAAAAGAGCGCCTTCATGGAAAGACTCTGTCACGAATAATGGGAAGGAGAAGAAAGAAACAAGACCACCAAGTCAAACACCCCCCCCCCCCCTTTCTCTCTCAGACCAAAGCAGACGTTCCACTGTACACCAGCACCACCTTCACCACCCACCGGCACCGATCCACCGGGTCTGTACGAGACGGACACTCTGCTGCGCGCCCCTGCCGTCTCACACGCTCCCTGAGCGATTAGAGAGAGAGAGAGAGAGAGAGAGAGGGAGAGAGGGAAGGGGAGCGAAGAGAGAGAGAGAGAGAGAGAGAGAGAGAGAGAGAGAGAGAGAGAGAGAGAGAGAGAGAAGGCGCTCGTAGTTCTCCGTGACATTGTCGAGACTCTCAGCGTGTACTGTAGATGACTTTTTTTCCCTCCCAGCGGCGTCCTCTGCTAAATTGCGCTCCTGGATTTTAAGTGCGCGCTCGATCGGCCCCGAGTCCGTCCTCTAAAACCGAGCGGCTGTCTCGCGTCCTGTCAGTGCTGTGCTGTGCTGTCCTGTCCCGTCCCGCCCGGTCCCGGAGCCCGACCCACCGGCGGACCTGCTCCTCGCTGTTCGCAACCTTTCTTCCACATTGACGCCCAGACGGATGCGTTTTCTGGCTGCTTTAAAGTAAGTCGAAGCGAGCGCGCGTACGTCGCTTTTGATAGTTGGGTGGTTGTTTTTTTTCTTCTTTTTTTTCTGTCATTTGTTTGTTTGTTTGTTTTGTTACATTATCCACTCTCGTGATGCGCGCACCTTTCAACAAAGTTAAAGTTGCGGTGACAATCGGCTGATAAAATCGTTGTTTCTGGTCTGTTTGGAGCGTTAGGCTCATCGTGTCCACATGCAGGCGCACACCTCGACGATTACAGATAACTCAAGGCACTTTATTTGACTTTGAAAAAAAAAAAAGTTGATTGTACTTGACGCATATTAGTATGGCATTTAAAAGTTAGCTTGACTTTCTGTGGAAATAAACTGACACTCAAGAAGTGTCCTCTGAAGCGTTGAAAGGAAGCTGAATCACCTTTTTAAAATTGTCAGTGCATCTAATGAATAAATATGGACAACCACACGGCAGGCAAGCTTCTTGGGTTAACGGTTGGACAGGTTTAAACACACGGGTGCACTGTTTTAAAAAACAAAAAAAATCAAAAAACAAAAACATTTTTAATTACAGTCTTGATTAAAAATTAACAATAAGATATTGTATGAATAGATAATAGAGCAGAGGTCAAGCGTACCAAAATTGATGATAGGCACTATTGGCCCTTTCAGACTGTGTGAAACTTCTTTTTTTTTCTTTTTTTCTTTTTTAAATACACAGTGTAAATAGCTATTTGGTGTCATTTATTTGAAGTGAAGTTTCATATGTTCACTTAAACCTGTTGCAGCCTGAGTCGTAATAATGTTACCATAATTAACCTGTCAACTTTGAGTCGTTGGCACATTGGAAATTAAACTGTATTTAGGAAACTTTTTTTTTTCCCCCGAAATTACAGCACTCATTTTAAAATGTAAAAAAAAAAAAAATCCCAAAGCAGTCTGTTTAAATATAAAACAGCCGTAAAACTTCCTTGTGGCGTTCACACTCACGGTTTTTATACACACACACACACACACACACACACACACACACACACACACACACACACACACACACACACACGATTAATTGAAAACAGCAAATACACTCTTTGTTCCAATGACCCTTCGTTTTAAATGGCGTTAATGTGGTTCTTGAAAGCTGGAGTCACAGCGCATTTTTATAATCTGCAGCAATTCAATTTAAAGTATGAATTAAAATTCTTTTTCCAAGTCTTCAACAGCATGCCAGCCTGAAAGTTGCGTTTCGAGTGCTTAAAATGTCGTTGATTCAAATTCTACAGGATACGTTTAGAGCTTGTGAAAGTTTTCTTCTTCTTTTTTTTTTTTTTTTTTTTTTACTTTTCCAGTGAAAATGGTTTTAGTGTAAGCCAAATATTAGTCCCTTTGCCCCCCTCCTGTGGCCACGGTCAATGAAGTTGTCCTGTCTGGCCTGTTGCTCTCTTGGGATTTAGCGTTGGCTTAATCCGCTCAGAGGAAGGTGAGTGCTCGCATGTGGACCCACGATTACACACTGAGGACTCTGTCAACCAAGCACTGTAATCTCAGGGAACCCGTGCAAGCACGCGCGCACACACACACTCACACACACACACACAAACACACACACACACACACACAGACACACACACACACACACACAGACACACACACACACACACACAGACACACACACACACACACACAGACACACACACACACACACACACACACACGGTCGCGCACGCACGCATATAGACAAAAAGCATGGCCTGTCCCCTTAACGCTCACTCACCCTAACACTGTCCTGCCGACTTTTTGTTTCCCCTCTTCTCCCTGCGGACAAATCATGTGGGATATTGGGCGCTGATTCACAAAACCAACAATGACAACACACACTTGCCCCTCTCATAGAGGGATTAGAGGGTCACGTGGCCCTGTGATTGGCCGGGGCATTGAGCCGATTGTCAGGGCACTTTGCTGTACACTGGGGGCTCAGCGAGGCTTTACTTCAAGGAAGAACTCTGTGTGTGTGTGTGTGTGTGTGTGTGTGTGTGTGTGTGTGTGTGTGTGTGTGTGTGTGTGTGTGTGTGTGTGTGCGTGTGGGTTTCATCAGCAAATGCAATGCATTTAACATACTTGATAACAGTGGTAATTTTGTTTTTTTTTTCCCCCCAACCCCGAGCATCGTTTTACCTAAATTGTGTCTTTTTCTTTTAAATGTAACAGAAGAAAATATGCCAAGTGTATCACACGGACATGTAAACCCAAAGAGGGGGGAAAAAAAATGCACATTTCACGATTCGCCCCTCATGGAAAACCAGATCTATGATAACATTTAGCTTCATAGGAACATCAGAGGCGCTCATGTATAAGCAAATAATTCAACAGCCCCCTTTGGTGTGCTTTAAAGTACCCCCGTGCCGCTCTTCTCCGACGGCGTTTCAAATATTTTGGAAGAGGTTTTGCAGCGTTTGCTCAGTTAACCATCATCAGAGCGCTCATTTGCACACTGCAGGTTTGGCAAGATGTGGCGGGAGATCTCAAAGTGCCGTAATTGGACTTCATTCCCCTTTGGCTGAAAGGAGAAGGTGATAGGGGAGTCAAGTAAATCAAATCACGAGGACCAGGTAGCGCGGCAATAAAATCAGGAGCTAAATATGAAACAACAAAGGTCGTTCTTAAGATCATTGTGACCGACGCAAACGCAAATTTGCAGCTGGCTGTTGTGAAGCAGATGAAAAGTTTCTTCCTGACTCAAGGGCTTGTTATGGAGTTTGTTACACAAGGCCAGCCAGCCTTTTATGCCCGTAATGAAATTATTATTGCACTAATGAAATTAGAGAAATTAGACGTGACCTCACTTTTTCATCTTTTTCTCCATCTTCAAACTGGCTGCACCTCCTTATAAAACTTGATACAATGCAGCGAATCCAAATAAACAGCACTCGCGCGGGGTTTATGGTGAATGCAAATATTTGAAAATGTCCTTATTTTTGCATAATGTTGCCAAGTCTTGTGTGTGTGTCTCTCTTTCTCTCTCTCTCTAGTAATTAGCGCTGATGCTCAGCAGCCTTCTTGTGTGTGTGTCTGAGTGTGTTTGTGGGAGGTGGTGGTGGGGGGGGGGTGCGCTTGTTCACTGGGGTGTTAAAGATCACAGCGGAATAGATCAGCCTTTGATGTTTAATTGTATTGTAAAACACACTTTAGAATATTTTCTCTCTAAAGTTGATTTTTGTTTTCGGCTGCTTTGTGTTTGCTGCTTGTGTGTGTGTGTGTGTGTGTGTCTGTGCGTTTATTGTCTGTGTTCGAATGTTTATGCCTTTGTTTTTGTTTTCTGCCGGAGTCTTGCGAGGTTCTTCCTGGTGTCTATTCCAAATGAAAATGCGTCGTCATCTCTGTTCTTGTCTGACAAAAAAGTGTTTGAGTTTGAGGGCCGAAAAGGAAAATGGAGGGGAAAAAAAAAATCAAATCATATTCCTTAGTTAATCACACCTCCCTTTTTTTTTTTTTTTTTTTAAATGACGCCATAGTGATGTCGCAGTGAACAGGACGTCCTGCCTCCTCCTTCCTGTTTCCTGTTTCCTGCCCGGCCTGTCGGTCACGATGGCGGTGGCAGCCTGCTGGGTGGTCCGCAGGCAGCCGCGCGCTGACCACACAATGGTATCGTCAGCATTAGCCCACCTAAAGAGACACCCGAAACACCTCTCGCCGTGCTTGAGGCCGGCTCCTTGAAATATTTGGATAGGGAGAGGAGGAGGGAGTTTTTGGATTGCGTGCGCATGATAAGACAAAGGAAACATTTAGATAAAGTTTGTACATTTCGCTGTAAATATTGAAGTTGTACGGGCTCGCTTGTTCAGATTGAAAGTTTTTTTTTTTTTTTTTCAAAACGAGCTCATTTTTATTTGAGACATTCAATTTAAATCTTGTGAGAATGCCAACGTGTTATCTTGGACCACCGCAGGTGTGTTTATCTGTTTAGATATGATGTGCTTGTATCGTATAGAACTCGAGTCCGTCCGTAGATGCAGCGAGCAATAGGCGTCACCCCCCCCCCCCGCCCCCCCCCCCCCCCCCCCCCCCCCCCTCCGGTGATGACACACAAGGGGCCCTCCTGCGGCAACTTTCAACATCTGTACTCTTTCATGTAGTCCACATTTGGACGACACCCGCGATCAAACAAATAAATAAATGCGGGAAAAGAGATAAAGAGAGCGGTTCAAAATTTTTCTTCCCGTTGACTGTAATTTATCTTTGTCCCGCCTGCGACACAGCGGAGTCATTCGGTAGCGTCAAGTCCGGCCAGACGCACAGAGGTGGCTCTGTGCACGAGCGCGCATCCATCTGAAGCGTCTACTCTGCGCCGCCGCCGCCACCTCCGTTCCCGCGATCGAGTATTTTTAGACGATCTCGTGTTGACACATGAATCCACCGGGGGAAAAATGACTCAAGTTTTTAGCCTTTCTGCCGCCGCTGTCTCACAAAGTCATCGGTAAATCTTCTCCCGCTGCGATGGACAATATCGTCACCCTAATTCACGTCACGTTCGAAGGTTTCGACTCGTATGAGTTTAAGCATTTCTGAGAATCAACACTCGGCACTCTCCGTCTCGAACAAGAGGCTTCAACCTGCCAAAGTCCACACCAGTGTTCCTTTCCAGCGTCATCTGGGCCGTTCCCACACTTGTGAAAGACTTGTCCGCTCAGGGTACTAACGTGGCCCTCGAAAGTGAAACTTTACAGCACAGTCCTCCGGCACCCGGGCCTTATCTCCCCTTTCCTTTTGGTCTGGCTCATGTACAGTAGCACTGTGAGGCATGCCCCTTTTTCCAAAGTGCAGCTTATGATGTCATTAATTTTATTCATACTTTATGGATGCTTCGTCCGGAGGAGGGAAGGGGTGGGGTGGGCGACAATGGAGAGGAGCAAGAAGATGGAGAGAAAGGAGGAGAGATGGTGTTGCGGAAGGAGATTTTCAGTGGAGGAGCATGTATAATGAATGAGGGGGGCACTTTGTTTGAAACTCCAGCCCCGCGCTTCACTTCAA